CCCGGTCCCGGCCTCGGCCCGGCCGCTGAGCGGAGCCCCGCAGGCTGCAGCCCAACGGGGAGACGCGGCAGAAGCAGCTCTCGGCCTGGTGCGCGCTGGCGCTCGCCTACAGCCGGCGGCACCGGCTGCCCGCCATGACGGTGCGGGAGGCCCAGGACAGCCCGCTCTTCGCTAACCGCCGCCTGCAGCGTATCCTTTGGGGGCCCGGTGCCCCGCCTGCCGCCCCCTTCCCTCCCTGCCTCCCGCGGTCGGTGAGCGTCTCCTTAACCCCCGCCCAGGGAAGCTCCCGCTGGAGTCCATCCAGGTGGTGCTGGAGGAGCTCCGCAAGAACGGTGGGTGTCATGCGTCCGTCCGTCCCACCTGCGGCCGGTGCCCGACCCGTAGTTAGCGAGGCAGGAAGGGTGGCAGCCGCTGGGCGGGCCCCTTCCTGCTGCCGGGAGCTGGACCTGGGGCTCGCCCAGCTGCCGTGGACCCTGGCTCTGCCTGAGCGGGGTCCCGGGGCCCTCCCTGCCCACCACGGCTCCCCGGCATCGCCCATGCTTGGGAGCCGGACCTTGCCTTTCCAGGGTGGGTGAAGTTGTGGGAGGAAGATGGGGCTCGAAGGAGAAATTAATTTCTGTACAGGTAGAGATAGTTAGGGAGTTGGCGCGAGCAGTCACGGGGCAGGGAGAGGCAGGTACCTGAAGCTACCTGTGGGTGTAATGTCCAGCATGTGTTGTGAAATCTGTGGGTTTGATTGTTACTGTAGACTTGTGCTCTGATTAAATACCTTTTCCCTGTTGATTTTAGGGAACCTGGAATGGTTAGATAAGAACAAAACCAGTTTTCTGATCATGTGGAGGAGACCAGAAGAATGGGGAAAGCTCATCTATCAGTGGGTGAGAACGTAGAAGCTGTCTCACCCCACAGACCAGGCTTTCTGTGCCCGGGAGGACAGGTGGTATTGGCTGCGATTTGTGAAAAAGACCACTGTGATATTTTTCTCTTGTTTCTTCACTGCTTTTGCCTTCCTTCTTCCATTTCTCTCTGTGGCAGAGAAGCGTAGAGATGTTAACAGCTTTTTACTTGCTGTAAGATGCAGTTTGAGCAGCGGATGGAGTCATCTGCTCCCACTGCAGTTGGCTGTTCTGTAATGAGGACAGAGCAGCATTGCCTTTGTTTGGCACAAGTCCTTATTGTGAAACACATGGGCAGAAAGAGCAGAAGGGCAGGGAAAAGAACCGTGTTAGTTTCCTTAGGTGTCATTTCTTGACTCTCCAGTGCCCCTAGAGCATTTCCAGGGTATTTTTCCTCATCGAGTGCTGTCTGCATTCCATTTCATTTGCGCCGAGATGTACGAGAAGATCTTGCCAAGGACGTTAAATCACATGGACAAGATTTGCTATATTACTTTTATGTTTCCAGGTGTCAAAGAACGGCTTGACTAACTCCGTATTCACGCTGTACGAATTAGCCAGTGGAGATGATACAGAGAATGAAGGTAATGTAGTGTGTAATGTTCTGGCACAGGTTTTCAGAGCACACTTGATTTGATTGCATAAACAGTTGATTGTCAGATTATAGTTTTGTAGATTAAATGTTTTAAAATTGCTTATGCAAGTTCACACTGGTCGCCACTGGCAAACGCCACTCTGAAGGCTTTTTTACCACTTTGCAGGAACATCTCCCTTTGTTATCACTGTTTGCTTTTTAAACCTTCCCCCCACCCCACAAGCCTCCGTAGTGCCCGGCTCTTTATCTGGTGTGAGGTGCAGGGTGTTTTGTTTTTGTGCCTAGCTTCTGCTCTGCCTTTGAGACTGCTGTGACTCATTCCCTTCTGTCTGTTGACCTTCAGGCTTTGTTCCTGATACAGCAATGTAGTGATGTGTCTGTCAGTGTAGCCGTGACTCTGGATTTGTCATAGTGTTACGGCGCTGGAGTCTGAAAGGTGCTCTTCAGAGCCTTCTGCTTCACTGCCAGCAGTCCCTGGACTTTGTAAGCCTGTTTGTTTCCTGATGTGATTTTTTTTTTTTTTCTGTTGATGGGGATCTTTGTCCTTCCCTAGAGTTCCATGGCTTAGATGAGACTATGCTGCTCCGTGCCCTGCAAGCCTTGCAACAAGAGCACAAGGCTGAAATTATCACGCTGGATGATGGCCGAGGCGTCAAGTTCTTCTGATAAGAGCCCCCTCCACTCTTCCCTGGCTGCTGAAGCAGTTCTCGCTGTGAAGGTTTGTTCTCCTGGCCTGGTTTCAAGCTGTGACTGCAAGCAGCTGCATACTCGGGATTTCTTGGGGCAAGGAGAATCTGCAAAGCCTTCCAAAGACGTGACTTCTTAGAAGTATTCAGAGATCCTCTGTCTTTTCTCCCTGTTGATTGTGTTTGAGAGGCTAAAGCTGCTCTAGGCAGTTCTGAGAGGGACCACCCAGAAAGTAAATAATGGGACTGCTCCTGTTGCTGATCCCTGTTCCTGTGAAGGCCACGGAGCGGTCTCTTCAGCTGGCTGGTCGAGCTTGGCCTCGAAGGGCAACTCCTTCCCTCCTGCCAACCATATGCTTGGGCTCTGCAGTCCCTGCTGTGTTGCCACGTGGGGTGAAAGCGAGCACAAGGAGCTTGCTGTCGCTGCTGTGTTGTAGAAGACCTCAATGGCAGAATGATATGTGCTTGCTGCAAAGCAGGCTGTGCAGCAGGGTGGGAGTGGATGCCAAGGAACTAATTTGAAGTAATTAAAATGAGATGTATTTATAGAGCAGCCTGGGTGTTTTCATCTATCTTTATTTTTCCATCAGAAACAAAACAGAGCAACGTACCAGATTCTTGCCCTTCAGCCATGTTTCCTTACTGCACCAGATGAACACAGCAGTATGCTGTGGGGAGGGTAGGCCTGCCAAGCCACCCCACCCACCCCCATGGGAAGCAGGCAGCACAAGTGCTTTTTTCCACATGCCAGAGCTACAGACCATGTGGGCCCTTGCTGCCTGTCTTCAGGGCAACATTTACTTTCATTTTCCATGTGCAGTCCACTGAAAGCTAATGGGTTTGTTGCAGAGGTGGTGGGGTAAGCACTATGCAACAGTGGCTGGTAGAAGGTATGACTAATTTTTTAGATTCTCAGTGCTGATAACAAAGTACCCAGCTGGTCAGAAAACATGACCCAGGTACAGTCTTTGACCCAGTAAATCCTTAATCGTTGACCAGGGGAAGCTGGACAGCTGTGCTGGGAAAGGATCATGCTCGCCTTTCCCATTCTTTGCCTGAGTATTCAGTGCTTGTTGCACGCAGAGGTGGGGTGCTGCGCTGGAGCGACCTTTGATCAGACCCAGTGTGGTCGTTCTCGGGATCTGGTGGAGCAGACGGTGCTTGCTTCCCGGCATGCTTTAGCCGTCTGTCCCCAGCCAGTGCTGAACAGCTTGTCCTGCCTGCCCTGCCCTTGGAGGATGACTTGGCACTGGTTCAGCTGCAGTGCTGCTGACAGCCATCGTCGATAGTAGGTAATTTTCAGTGTAGATGGGATGCTGGAGTCCAGGCTGAGTTTGTGGGGCTGTGAAACTTAAAAATGTACCTTTTGTAGCAGGAGCCTGTTGATCTGAACTCAGTGGGATGTGCTGGCTTGATCTGGGCATGTCACTCTGGAGTTGTGGCTGGAGGCTGGTGCCCAGGGTTCCTCTCTGTGCCGGTGACAGCAGTGCTGTGGAGGGATTCCCATGTGCCAGGACTCCTCTGCTGGAGAATGGCACTTGCAGCACTCCTGCAGAGTCACTGACACGCTGGGCTACTGTGGTCTCCAACACTTTCTGGAGACCATCATCCCTGTGAGCATTGAGATGACTTACCTGAGCGAATGTGATGGTGCAGCCTGCAGTGAGCATACCTACCCCTGGTGCTACAGCAGTCTGGGGGCAGCCCAGGCTGGTTTCATGTGCCCTACTCTCAGGTGCCTGTTCTGACAGCCTAGGCTCAGTCCTCACCCGAGCCATGAGGTTTGAGGGCAGTGGATGGATGTGGCAGCCCTTGGGGACGGACACGCTGGGGATGCAAAGACCTGTTTTGGTACCACCATGCACTGACTTGCTGGGGAATGTCTGATGGTGGCTGAGCAAGCCCAGCTCCCTACAGCTGCTGCCAGCCACATTCACAGAAGCAGAGGCTGTGCTGTGCCATGTGCCGGCAGCCCCACAGCGCGTCCTGGCAGAGGCAGCACATGTGTCCCCACAACTGTCACAGGCTCTGCTCAAACCAGGGCTCACTGGTTGGATGGGGGTCCTCCCTCTGTGTTTGCAGCCAGGAGAGTCTCTGTGTAGGAATTGTCTGCTACCGGTGTCTGCTCTGGGCTTGTTTTGATGTCCAAGATCTGCCTCTTCCTCCCTCTTCATGCCATGCACATTTACTCCTTTCCTCTCTGGTTGCTGCGCCCTCCCCTCTTGTTGCTTTTGTACCCCTGCAGTGAGCCGTGTTTCTATGCTGGCTGTTCTGTGCCTGATGGCATCTGCGTTTGATCCCAAATAATGAGCCTTTAGCAGCTGGGCCCGGGATGTTTGCATTTCTTGCTCTCCATATGTGTGATGCCGACCTCTCAGCATTGTGTTCTGAGGTACATGTGCTGTATGTAACCTGGCTGTCCTTGAGTGAGTCTGTGTTCTTAATTAAATTTGCTCCCTTCTAAGGAAATGGCTGATGTGACATTAGATAAGCCTAAAACAGCCTTTTTCTTTCCAAGGCACTCCTGGCAGCAATTCACTGCTCTTTTTCAGCTTCCTATTTAGTTGCTTACTTAGTGAGAAGAGGAGGAAGAGTATGTCCCCCCCTTCAGAATGGACATGGTGTAAAATTCCTTTTTCTGCACCCTCTCGGCCAGTTATGAAAGGTTGCATCCAGCCGTGCCTGTGTGGTCCTTGTGGGACCGACTCCCTGTGCCGGGCACTACGGCAGCGCGGTGGCAGCAGCAGCTGTCTGCCAGCGATTGCCCCAGAGCCGTGGGATGGGTCCTGGGGCTGGAAGACCCGCTGCCGGTGGTGCTGCCACCCTGGAGGGAGCAGATGCTCCCTGGCTGTTCCTTCTGCTTGGGGAATGGTGGCAATTTGTAGCTCTTCCTGTCAGCAGGTAAAACAGAGCCTTTTAACTGTCCTCTGAAACTGGCTTCCTTGTCTTTATTCAGTGCTTCATAATGTTTGATGATGTAATCATGGGACTGGGACACCAGAGCCAGCCCAGAGATACTGCTCAGAGGGAGAGAGCGTGGCAGCCTCCAGCCGTGACATTCCCGTGAACCAGAGCAGTCACGCCTCTTCCCGATGCTTCAGGCACAGCGCGAGAGCTGCAGGCGCTCCCGAAGCAAAGAGGGGCAGGGGAGGCCTGTGTTCATGCAGGAGTATGGCTGAAGCCTGTCTGGGCAGCTCCCTCACCTGCCGCTTCTCTGCCTCCGCCGTGCTGCCTGGCACCGCCTGTGGCAGGGGACCCCTGCCCCATCGCTGCAGCAGGGCCGATCCCTCCTCACACGTGTTTGGCGTTACAGAGTTTAAAATCCAAACCCAAACCTCCCTACACTCCCAGGCGTGCCAGCACAGGCACAGCTCAGGCTCCAGCGCTTTCAAGCCCGGCCACGCAGCCCTGCCGAGGGGCTCGCCGGAGATGGTGGCATTTCCATGGGGGGGGGGGGGGGGGGGGGCGCAGGCCCCTACCTCTGGCCCATGGCCACTCTGAGGCAGTTGCCATGTCTGGCCACGGTGATTAGGCCTCGCTGGCCAGGGCGAGGCAGAGTTCGGGGGGCTGGTTCTGAGATAAGGTGCTATCAGGCTGATGCACACTTGGATCCCGCTGGTCAGGGAAGGAAAAACGTCAAGAGGGGTTTTATTTAATGTGACTGGTTAGGAGCAAGAGTTGTTTCAGTTTGATAAATTTATATGTTGGGATAAACTTGCAGGCGGGTTACATCTGTAACTCTGGGCTAAGGAAATCCTCCAAAGTTATCTGCCTGGGGTTAAAGCCACAACTGAGGTTTGGGTGACATCTCCTCCTCCCTGAACTCATGTGCGTTAGGGCAAGGAGGGACATGGCAGGAGGGACGCTGGGGGCTCTATGGGCACAGGGTGCTGAAACCAACTATGAAACAAGCCCTGGGTCGCTGCAGAGCCCTCCTCTGCACTGACTCTTCCCAGGATGGGCACCCCATGCCTCGCAGCCCGAGCTGTGCATCCCCCATCTGCGGGGGATGCCTGCATTCAGACCCATCCTGGCCCCTCCATGATCCTGCCCTGAACTCTGGGATCAGAATGGACAATTCCTGGCAGGGCTTGCTGCAGCAAGGAGCTGAGCAGGACTTTGTTTCATGATCTAATCCTGAGGAGAGCGATTAGAGTCCCCTGTTCTCTTTCTGGCAGCCAAATGCAAGTAAGAAATAGTTTACGTTGCCTGATTGCAGCGGTTCCTCAAAGCGGAGAACTGGCGCTGGCACCCGGAGCCCAGAAATGTCACCCTGATAACGGCTGGGGAGCTGTGGGCACCATCAGAGTGCTTACTATGGGCAGCTGATTGCCGAGCAGGAACCTTCTGATTTCGGGCCAAGTTGGCTCTGGCTTGGTGTCCCGGGCCAGGTCAGGAGGGGATCTGTACCCCTGCCCGAGCTGCCTTCCCCCCTGCCAAGCTCACAGTGTGAGATGGCATTTGGGGGGGTGGCTGGGGAACTTCTCAGGCCATTCACCAGGGATGTGTGGGAGGGCAGCAGTGGGAGTGAACTTCAGCCCTAATTTCCTTTCCTGTCTTCAGGGGCCTCACCAGGACCGGGACACTCCTCTGCTCCTCTGGGATCTTCTGAGGCATCTCATTTCATGATGAAAACACTTGATTAGGTGACGTGAGCCTACCAGAGACGAAGCCAAGATCCCTGCCTGGCTCTGTGTCTCTCTGAAGAGCTGGGGCTCCCTGCCAGCCTGGGCCGTGTCCTGGTGCCTGGGCAGTGCAGGGCCCCTGGCAGGGACCCCCGGGTGGGGGTAGCTGGAGAGCCAACCCTCAGGGGCTCGGGCAGCATTTCGGCTGGCCATGGCCAGGAGCCATGCTGCTGCTCGAAGCTGCACCGGTTCATTCTCCCTGCCCAGCTCGGGGCTGGCCACCCTCCTGGCTGTGCGGAGGGAGCAAGGAGCTGGGACTGGTTTTCTGTCTTTGGGCTCCCCAGGCTGGGGACAGCCGAGCTGGACATGCTTGGAGCACACGCCTGTCGTGGGGCGGTGGGAGCTCCCACTCTACCTAGCACTCTTTCTCTCCGAGGACAAATCTGCTGTCCTGTTTAATTTAGGAAGCCATCAGTGTGCACTGGCCGGTGCTGGGATCAATCCTCCAGCAGGCCCCACTGCTGCCTGAGCTGCCAGATTTGCCTCTGGTTCGGCAGTTGCAGAACAAGATGTGGCGCAGCCTGTCCTGTGGATCAGGCTGGGGATTTTCAGCTGGGAAGGACTGAAATCTCCATCTCTGCTGGAAGCTGTAGTCAGGACAGGATAAAAATAAAATCAATTATTTTTTAAGAAGGGAGGTTTTTAAACCTGACATATGTTACATGAGTAAAAGCCACAGTCTCATGTCCTGTGATGGGCACCAGAGGAGAGGCAGAGGCTGAAGGGGTCTGACAGACGGCTCTTCGCACACCTTCTCCTGCCCTCCCGGGCTGGGACAGAGATCACCTGGCTCCTGCGTGGGCTCCTTACTTTGTGCAGCCTGCGACGTGCTCGAGAAGAGAGTTCAACAGGAGCAGGAAAGCCCGAGAGATGCAGTGTTGGAGGCAGCTGTGAGGGGAGCAGTGGTGCACCCCGTTCGGGCAATGGAGCTGGTGAGAAGCGGGCAGGTTCTCAGCAGGTCTGGAGCAGGGTTCATCTGAACAAAACGCGTTGTTTGGCAGAGCTGAGTCAAACCGTGTCGCATCTTACAACATGAGAGTCTCCCAGGCCAGGGCCAGCGCAAGCACTGTGCCCATCAGCCCAACTGTCCCGGCCTTATGCCTCTGACAGCGATGGGTGCCCAGTGCTCTGGCCGAGGGGCCACCTCTCCCACAGACAGTAGGCAGAGTCCTGGGGGGGGGCGGGCAGCGCTGAACACATGTCCTTCAGCTGGCAGTGGTTTTTCCCCCGGGACCGTGCCCCATGCACGCTCCAAGGAGCACAGTGCTGGGTGAGGATGCAGTCACTGCTCTCTGCTCACCCGCCTGTGCTGCAGGCGAGCGGCTCTCGGCAGGGAGACGTCGGTCAAACCCCTTCCTGGGGAGGTGGTACCTGGCTCCTCCGGTGAGCTGGAGAGCAGGGCTGGACGAGTGGGGTCATGTGGAGGGAGCAGAGCCTGCCTGCGCGGGAGAGCAGCACTGTGATACTCAGCCTAGCCAGAGCTTCTGTAGGAACAGCGTTTCGTTAAATGTTTCTCCCGCCGGCTGGGGATTTGTGGGGCTGCAGCTGTGCGAGACGTGGCCTGCAGCGGTACTGTGTCTCCAGCAGCCCCGGATCACCCGGCGTCACCCTGTGTGCGCCAGGTTAGCGTTTGAGTAGGACGTGGCTGTGGTCCCGTGTTGATCCCCTCCTTCATGTTTCCGGTATCGCTGAGTAGAAACAATCTGACCTTAGGGAACAGAAATTAGCGCCGGCCTCAACTGCTTTGTGTTTTGTGTAAACAGCCTCACCGGGTAGAACAACCTCCTCGTTTAACCCAGAGAGACAACAAGCTCTTGTCCGGGCTTTTGGCTCGCGCGGGACTGACACACACGTTCGTATCCTTCCTATTTGCATGACCCTCATCTGAGGATTTCGGACCGCAGTAAACCCGGAGAGGACCGGCTGCCTGGGACGGCGCAGGCAGCGCGGGGGCTGGTCCCGCAGCCCGGGGAGCGGGACGGGGCTTCGCCTGGACACGCCGCTCCGGAACCCCGCGCCAGAACCGCCGAGGAATTGGCTGAACCAGGCGCTTTCCTACGGCTCCACTTAGGCTGCCTCGCCCCGGCCAGGGCCCCGC